TTGTCCCACAATTACCATGATTTTTAGGATAAATTCTGAGAGAAAATTCTTTCCATGCACACACAAAATGGTATTAAAAGCATATACTAGATATATAGAAAGACACGAGAAAGGAAAAAAAAATTATAATTCCCAAGATTATTCAATTTTGCGGAAAGGTTTGAATTTTTTCTCAACATGTGTATATCTTCTTATATTTTTCCAGAGCCATTTAAAAAATACATATAAGATTAATGAAGATGTCAATCATTCGATCTTGTTATCAGTAATATCGAATTTCTCGTGCTAAAGTCGCGCGCACTTTTCCGAGGTCAATCGAGAACGACTGGTTATTATCCCCGGAGATTGCGTATTTCTCTTCTCGTGATTAGGGCTCTCTCGGATGATACATGTGATACAGTTTGTCGCGGCCATCGCGGAACATTGCGGATCGATGTTATGACAATAAACGAGCACGGTAGCGTATTCTTGTTTTCAAAACACCGCCTCTCTTCGTGTACACGAGGATGATCCTGGCCTCTCGCTACTGCAGGAAATCGTACACCTCGCTGGAAGCCAGCTACGATAGCTATATATATGAGAGAGATTTGCGTCGTTACATTAAAATCCATTTTTCTCTCTTTCTCGAGTCGCTTTTTCGAGCAATTTTATGGCGATATATAGAGATGAATATTTTGCGTATTTTTTGCGATGGAAAAAAAAATCATATTTCCGGAAATACGAACAAAACTGAATCGACATGGCCCGGAGATGTATAAATTTGCAAAATATTATTTCACGTTTTAATATTATCAGATATGGTAAAAGATCTGACACTATATATTCATTAGTGAAATCTCATGAGAAAATTATTTATCCATTTATTTTGAAACAATATGAAAAGATGTTTTTGTGATACTTGAGAGAAATTACATCATTTTGTACTAATTTTATTAATGTAACATTCTCTCCTTTTTTTTATTAAATATAATGTATCATTTTTATTTAATTTTCAAGAAACTTAATATACGAATAAAATATTATTCGAAGGAATATCTTGTCGAATCTATTATATGAACAACTTGAATATTAATTTTATCACTCGTATATTTTTTGTTTAATGCAAGAATAATTAAGTCTATAATTTGCTTTATACACAGAGCAGATTTTTCGTAGAATTTATCTTGAAAATTATGGTAATTGTGGGACACTATGGCATTGGAAGAATTTTATGAGATTTTTCTGATTAATATTTACGACAATAAAAAATATTAATATGTATGTAATAATGTATATATAATAAAATTAACCGAGCATATTTTATATCTCTTTTTGATAGATATTAATATTTTTTATTGTGGTAAATATTAATCAGAGAAACTCTTATAAAATTCTTCCAATACCATATATTATCCAACGATTACTATGGTTTTTCAGGGTAAGTTCTAAGAGAAAATTATCTTGTTCTTCCGCTTCGATTTCGTAGACCAAATAATTTTCTGCTGAATTCGCGATTGGTCAAAAAAATCACTCGCACTTTATTTTAGTGCAAGAATAATTAAGTCTATAATTTACTCTACACGTAGATATCAAAATACAATGCATATGCAATTATCTTGTCCTTGCGTTTTGATTTAATGGACCAAATAATTTTCTGCTGAATTCGCGATTGGTCAAAAAAATCACTCGCACTTTATTTTAGTGCAAGAATAATTAAGTCTATAATTTACTCTACACGTAGATATCAAAATACAATGCATATACAATTATCTTGTTCCTGCGCTTCGATTTCGTGGACCGAATAACTTTCTGCTGAATTCGCGATTGGTAAAAAGAAAAAATAAAAAAAAATTGCGTCATTCGAGAAGAGCGAAGCTCGTGCATGACGTTCGTGAGATCATCGTGCGATCGATGCGTGAGCACGGCACGTCACAATGTATCCCTTGTTTCTACAACACGTCTCTTCGCCAGGACGAGGTCTGCTGGCGCGACACCGGGAAATTTTACACCCGGTGTCAGCCAGTCTGTCTGTGTGTTGCCTGGACGTCTTGTTTGGCGAATCCATCTCTAGCCCGGAGCACGTGTCCGCGTTTTCGCGATCCGTAACCGGCAACAGTATCGTCGAACCTATGCCGACGATGTTGTAGACACGTAATATATCCCGTGTAACGGATCGAAATACATGTCGTTTGATTTTCGCACCGATCGTTATATCACCGAGAACTTGAGTGCGAGCATCTTTATTAAGCACAGATTTGCATTGCAGATCTTCTGTCTTTTATATCCGCGTATCATTCATTCTAATCGCGTACGTTTGTCAAATAATAGTATATTGTGTATCAAGTGCGGAAAGTTGACAATTGGTCACGAGTGAACAATTGTCAATCCGCAATTGATACACACGATATTTTGTATTACAAGTGCAGGCAAAGTGTAAGATGCTTGAAGAAAACGGTACTTCACCCTCAAGAATCTTTTGTATTACACGCACACAAAGTGCCACTTTGCCTGCACGTGTAATACAAAAGATTCTTGAGGGTGAAGTACCGTTTTCTTCAAGCATCTTACACTTAATTAGAATTTACTAAAAAAATATATAAATTAAGCATTATTTATTTTTTGCTCTCCTTTTGAGTAAATACTGGAAGTTATTTGCACATTTAATATAAAAAATAAAAAAATAATTATGCACCTTCCTGGAAAAAATCCTGCATGCAGACGCTCATGATTGTTTCATGATTCATAAACGTCTCGTAAGAAATAATTCGAAGAGTAATTCGTATGTCACAGGTTTCAGCGTAACTGCGAAATGTGTTTCAAGATATATGATCTTTATCCCCAGCTTCTCCCCCTTACGATAGTCATTTTACGCTTTGAGAATTTCTTCCACGCGTTTTACACGCGTGCGGAGCAATTTGTGCGGCCGTTAACGTACGCGGTTAACGACTCGTAGTGTGATGTTAATTACATGATGATATAAAACTGCAGATTCGCTTTTCAACGCGTGGCTCCACGTCTAATCTAATCTTCGTATATTTATTGTATATTCATAATCAAAACTTATTGTTACATGGAAAGAATTTTCTCTCAGAATTTACCCTGAAAATCATGGTAATCGTGCGAGATTAATATGATATTGGAAGAATTTAAGATATAAAAATAAGAAATAAAATGTTCGATTAATTTTATCATAGTAAAATTTACTTATTAATATTTTTGTTACGTCAGAGAAACTGTGTTATAAAATTCTTCCAACACCATATTGTCTTACCGTGATTTTCAAGTTAAATTCTAAAAGAAAATTCTCTCTGTATATTTATTTATTTATTGTATCCTTTTTAACATATGCATATATATATAGTTGCATAAAATATTTACATATTTATAAAACATCAAAATTTACGATTTAAATCGATGATCCCTATTTTTGAAAAATAGCTTAACTTATTTTTTAATTCATTGTATATTATTATTTAATAATATTATAATAACGCGTAAGTAATAGAAAAATGTATCGCGAGGATCTTTCGGCGGATTTGGGGATAAATTTCTTTCGATTTAATCGCGGAGCTGACTTTCGCCCTTTTCCGTCTCTTCCACGTTTTGCCTCGTCCCGAGTTCGTTCGCTTTTATTCGGTTCCGCGCGTGCTTTTTTTTCTTTCTCTTTCCCTATTTCGCCCGCGGCGCGCACGTAAGTTATTGGTGTCCAGTTACATCCAGTTCCAGTTACACGTGCCGCGGGGCACCGATGCACTCGATGCCGGGTCCCTCGTTCTCCCCCTCTCCACCCCCTTTCATCCCCCTCGTCTCGTACTTCCGAGTACGCGAGTGCAACTCGCTCTTTCTCTCTCGTTCTCTCCGGCGTTTTGCGATTTTATCGCATCGCAAAAAAACAGATTATCGTATTGTTTTAATGGAAGTTGCGTTTGCAAAGCTTCGCGCATGGTGAAGGAAAATTCAATATTGCTCTCTACGACGTATTATCAAGTTTTTACATAACATGGCTAAATTACTAGTTTTAAATTGTATTTTATATATGTATAGAATTTTAAAAAATGTTTATCCTTCGCGAGAGTGCATCTTAATGCAGATGATGCATCGATGAAATTCAATTGACATCGTCGAGTAATAAATTTTAAAATTAGTGGATTTAGGAAATTACTATCTTTTAATGATTTGACATAAAGTTGACAAAAATTCTTTCTAAGTCAATCAAACATCTAAATTGTACCTCTTCAAAGACCATAGGCTAAATTACTAGTTTTATATTTCTATAGAATAAAAAAAAATTTTATCCTTCACGAAAGTGCATCTTAATACAGATGATGCATTGATGAAATATAAAATAAATTAAAAAATGAATAAATCTATGAAATATTACTATATCTTTGAATGATTTTCATAAAGTTGACGAAAAAATTCTTTTTAAATTAATCAAATCATCTACTATTCTTTATCTGCAAAAGACCATATTTTAGATTTTAGATTATCAGTGCTCTTTTTGCCCCTGTTTCTTTTTCTTTCTCTTGCTCGCTCGTGGTTTATCGTTTCGTATTTCGTATATCGACTCTCGGCATTAAACATAAAACCTATGTAGGCCTCGAGTGTCCCGAGGTACAAGTTCCTCTTAAATGGGTCAATTGTTTTGCCCGGGCGAGATTTCTGAGAATTACGATACGCATTCACGTGCGCGCGAATCAGCCGATCGATGAAAGGAATGAAAGAAAGGAAGACAACGAGCAGTCCATTGTCCAGGTTCTCGGAGTAATCGTCACGTCCGATCGTCGTCTCGGAATTCGCGATCATGCGTCTCGCTTTGCTGTCATTTCGTTGCCGCAGCTCTATCCTACAAAAATACTTCTTCCATTATTACGCAATATTTAATTAAACATCATATAACGCCAGAAAAAAAAATTGCAAAAACTCGTCTGTACTTATTTACGTCAATTTGTTTCATCGTTGAAAAAACTAGCAAAAATGACTCGAGTCAGGTATTAAAAATGTCGAATTTTTGATTTCAGTGAGCAGTTTCGAGCTGCAGAGCTGCATCGGCGGCACCTCAAAGGACCTGGACGCCAGCGCGATGATCGGCATGCGTCTGACGTCACACAACGTCTCCCCACTGAGTCACCATCACCACCACAACCATCATGCTCGTCAGACTCTGCACAGCCCCAACGCCGTAATCTCTATGCACCCGGCGACAACCGGCAGCTCCAGTTCGACGCATCATCACCTGGATGACAAGGGCTCGTCGCCCATAGGTACCCTTCACAGCACCACCAATAGCAATCCTTCCACGCCGTCAGCGTCAGCACCCTCCACGCCCACCGCGGCCACCGTGGCCACCGCGGACAGTGGCGCGACCGTCACCGCGTCCGGGGTGAGCAACCCTAACGGCGGCTCCTCCACCACCAACGTCGCCGCCAACAGCAAACCGCCCTTCAGCTACGTTGCTCTGATCGCCATGGCGATTCAGCACAGCCCGCAAAAGAGGGCGACTCTCAGCGAGATCTACGGTTACATCACCGCCAAATTTCCCTATTTCGAAAAGAACAAGAAGGGATGGCAGAACTCCATCAGGCACAATCTCTCGTTGAACGAGTGCTTCGTCAAGGTGCCCCGGGAGGGCGGCGGCGAGAGAAAGGGCAATTTTTGGACTCTCGGTAAATTGATAATTCGCCCGCGATATCTTTTAGTTTAGATTTCATTATGTGATTTTATTTTTGTAAGAAATAGAATTATTTAACGAATTTTTAATTGCCAATTCATAATTTTCGCGGATTCAGACTCCAGATGTTGCATTTATTTTTATTCTATGTAAAATTAAAAACGAGTTTATTCACAATCAATAATATTTCATATAAATGAAATATAATCTCTTTATTTTAATTTACGAGATGCGCACACGTAAATGATTATAAATATGTTTGTGGCATCAAAATTGGTTGTATCTATTTCATAGATATTTATTATCTAAATGTGCTTTCTCGCGTTAATCGTGTAGATCCACAATACGAGGATATGTTCGAGAACGGCAATTACCGAAGGCGAAGACGAATGAAGCGTCCCTATAGAAATGCACCGTATCACCACAAACAACTATTCGGCGATCCATTCTCGACAACTCATGTACATTTGGGAGCTAGGAACATTTTTGGCCACTCACCCCCTTCATACGCCCCTCCTCCTTACACGCGATACGACACGAGGTATATTCAAATATCATATGCGAATTTATGATAACATATTTGCGTTAATATATATCACACATTTTTCAAAAGTTTGCAAAAAATTATGCTAAAGTTTTTGGAAAGAACGAAGAGAGTCAAGACATTTTTATCTCTTAATTTATTAACAATATTTATATGTTTTTCTTTTATTAAAGTCCATGGAGTCTTCAACAATCGCAGCTCTCATACAACCATTGTCAATCGGTGAGTCTTATAAAAAAACTGTATAGAGATAACAAATTATAATATATATTTAATTTGATATCGAATAAAATGTAACCCAATTCTTTTGGGGAAGAATATTTATCTGATAAATTTGGCTCGACACATATAAGTTTTTTCAATTACAGCTACAATCGCAATTGCAGCCGATGCAGCCAATGCAAATCCCGGCCATGAATGGCTACAGTCAACTGGGTACCTCGCTAAGTGAGTCATTATTCTCGCATTTTGTGCCCTCTTTTGTCGAGCGGGGTAACGCCGAACGACCAGACAAAGTGTTTCAAGGCAATTACCTGGATGTTCCAGGTGGAACGGCCGGATCGCCCGGTTCCATGGGCAGCGGCTCCTTCGGCAACAGTTTCGCCGCGTGCAGCAGGAGGCACGACACCGCGATGACCACGGACACGATGGCCGGGAGATGCTATTGGCCCGAGAGTAACTGATTTTAATAAAAATTACTATTAAATTTTATTCTAATATTTATATTCTACATATCATTTATCATAACACAAGTCTACATATTAAATGATTCCACTATATTCTATATATTGTCAATTCCTCAGACTTTAGACGGTTTGAGTTTTTGAATGGAAATTACGTATTTTGTAAAATAATTTGAGACTGATTTTAAATATCATAATTTACATGTCTTTCCCGGAGATTCTTTTGTTCAAATCCCGACTGGAGAATTTGCAATGAGAGAAGTCTCTGGGGGACGGTTTCGGAGTATCTTGTATACATGGTTCACTGACTTTCAGTGGTAAACGTGAAGGAGGAACCTGGAACTAACAACGTGTTGACCAGCGGAGCCGGAGGTGTCTCGTCCGGCATAATGAGCTCCGCCGTGCCATCGAGTGTTTCCACGACGGGATTCGCACCCATGGAGTTCCAAACGCGTTCCAAATGCTTTATGTGAACTCTCGACGAACCGTTGATGAAATTGCAGTAAGGTGTGTTTCGAGCTGAAGAACAAAGGATGACGATTTTGCGCGATTTGCTATTTCGGGGATTTACTCGCGAATTCTCGTCGGACGGGGTGAGTGATACACTTGAATATTAAAATTTCGTTAACGCGAATAATATCCGATCAGATTAAATTTAACAAATATTATCGAATAATATCCGATAATTATTTAATAATATTATTGAATAGTTATTTAATAATATTATTCACGAGGAATCCAACCCGCGCGAGGAAATAGGGATATACATACGTTTGTAAAACTCGTGTAAAATCGTTGTTGTGTTAATTCGATGTTATAAACGAACTCGTCGTGTGTTGCCTCGCGTCTTTTACTGCGTAAGTGTGTTAATACGTATTGTGCGCGAATATAATCGCGCTTATCGTATGAAATGATACGATGCGGTATCCTGTAACGACTGAATCCTTTCGCAGAGAATGATACAACCATCGCGATTGTATCTGTTATCTGTTCTGAGAGTCGGAGATGTGTCGCGTGACAACAAAAGGATTGCGAAAAGATCTCTCATAACTTTGTCTCGTTTTTTGATGGTAACACTTGAAAATATCTCTATCTTTGTACATCGTGTTTTACGATTGCTTCGCAGTATTTAATATCTATGGAGAAACATTGAACAAGTGGCTAATGAAAGTTTCCGCATAACGAGAATCATTGCGAGATATCATTTCGATCGCGACGGAATGGAAAAACGTGATATGTACGAATTTATCTCGGAAGGATTTTTTTCCGAATTAATGTGAAATTATTAATGATTAAATTTTAATTGTATTTTACTTTATTATATCATTTTATTCTGCTTTATTTTATTTTGGATTATTTTATCTTATTTTATTTTATTTTGTATTATTTTATCTCTCATTTTAGTTTATTTTTTATTGTTTTTCTGCTGTTATTTTAATGTTTTTTTTCTTTTCTCTTATTATTAAGCTCTCTTATATATTCTGTTAAATAAATAAATGATTAATTAAATTATTGATAATGTAAAATTATTGATAGAGTAATTGTCCATTAAATTTTAGTACATTTTTATTCGATTTTTCGAACTTTATGTTTTGAGACATGATCGAGAATGATATCTCTTCTATTGCGACATGAATATTTGCGGTAGCTTAATACAAATCTATTATAAAAGAGCGATACAAAGTGTAGAGAAAACCATCTTATTGTAGAAAGTTCCCTCTTATATATACAGTGTCTGTGAAGTTAGCACGACATTCTACGAATTTCATAAAAATACTAAGAGTTCTATTAGTGCTGGACGTAATTATTAAAAAATTGATTATAAATTGTTAGTTAACGAATATCGATGTGAAATTTCATATGTAAGCTGAAATTGAGAACTATCGGGAACTCTTGCCAAAATTGATATTATTTCAAGTGTTTTAGTATTTTAGAGGGGAGAGTGTCGTGCTAGATTTGCGAAGTGAGCACATTTTTTCAATTTTGATTTTTTAATATAAGGAATGCGGAACTCTTTAATTTTTATCAGGAATTGTAGAACTATGAAAAGTGTTACTAGAACTCTTAGTATTTTTTTTTGAAATTCGTAGAACATCGTGTTAACTTCACAGACACATATATACATAGAATTTAATAAATAAAGCTATATATGTTTAATCGTACAAATATGTTTTATGTCAACTATAGAGATCAGAATTAAAATCCGTGACAATCGCAATGTAAATATATGATTAGTATATATGTTAATAACTCTAAAAAAACATGTTGCGAAGTAATTAATCTTATATGTATAGATCAACTAAAGTTAATTTCTATTATATGTAACGTTTCTCCTCTCAATTATTATTATACACCGAAATTCATATGTGCATTGCATAAGAATATTGTGTGGCAGCTGCATACATTTCGACAAAAATTAACGTGTAAAAAAAAGTGTAACAGTCATTATATAAGAGATAATGAGAATAAATCTTAATTATTTATCATCGACAAAAGAACACAATTTTCTTTAAAAAATCGATTTGTTTGCGAGTTATTTCAGAAATTATTTCAGAAATAATATTTAAACGGGATATTTTTTGTAAATCAGATATTTACTTTTGATTATGAAAAATTGCGTTTATATAAGATTATAAGGACTTGTAAAATTTAATATTATGCGAAACATGTCTATACAATATTGTACGAAATATTATATATTATTGAAAAAGGAACTGGTCGGTTGAGAATAGCTTCTACGCGGCATAGTCACTGTACCTTAGAATACAATTTCTCTCGCCACAGGATGTCGAAGAGAAAAGTATATATCGAAGAGAGAGAGGAAGAGGAGAAGGAAGAGGGAGGAAACTCTGGACTCCAATGGCCGGCGAATGTTTGTGAGCGCGATGTTTTGCAAACAAGCCGTGCACCGTGGGCTTTAATATTCTCCGTAAAATCTGGAACAGTACGAGCGACCGCTGCCGGGCTCCGGATCGGCGCGTCAACACCGCGCGTGCATCGAGAAGCGGGAATAGCACGTGCATTTTATTTTCTGACCTGGGAAATATACCGCCGCGAAAAGGAGCACGTCGATGACATCGTTAGAGCTTTTCTCCCTCTCTCTTAGAGGCGGCAAATAAATTTTCGGCCAGTTGCCGGATATATAATTGCGAGGAACGTGTGAAATAGTGCAGCGCAGTGCAACCAGCTTGCTTCTTCAATATAAACATATAAGTAACTAAAAGGAAAATCACGAAAGTGTTGCGTGATGCAACTAGTCGGACGTCCGCAAAAACAAGCCGTTACTGCGTATATAATATTTGTACTTTTCCAATTAAATAAGTATTAAAAATTATATATATGTATACGTAGAATTATTATTTTTTTTATTTGGAAAAGTACAAAGAAAATATATTTTTACTTCTATCTCCCGATAAAACGTGTACACTCTCGTTAACTTATCTCTCAGATCCATTTTCTCAATTAATTATTATAAAGCACGTAATATTCAGTTACGCCTGTCTCGAATACTAAATCAGTAATTTGATGTATTATATAGAATATTAAAATAATGCCGTGTGTACTATTTGATTGTGCGGTTACTTGATAAATTAAATAAACAAATAAGAATGATGTTTCTTTAATTGAGACGCACAAGGGAATTGTAATCTGAGAGATATCACTTTATGCTTCCTCAAACTCTCGTTTAGATTCCTCGAATTTTCTTCGGCTCTTAGAAACGTACGCTTTACATGATACAGTTTGACACATTCAACGTAAACATCGGATCTGATTTATTCAAACAGACAAGATAACGGATTCGACTTAATCATCGGTATAGAATGAGCCACATGTGTATTACAGAGCGCAATTAAAAACGGATAATAAAAAAAATTAATAATTAATTATAAGTACACTTTATTTTGAAGTGTCTTAAAAATAGCTCAACCAAATTTAATTTGTAATAAAATAATTTAATTTGTAATCTCTTTTATATATAAAATTCGCGGAGTTGAAGTAAAATGTATATTTTCAGCGAACTTTGTATCGCAGGTTCTGCATGAAGTGCATATATTTTCTTCATTCGGTGGCCGTAAGATAAGGGATTTAGGAACGAATTTGAGACACGCTGAATCTCCGGGACGATGCCGTACAGAAAGCACGCACCGCGTTGAATGACGTGCAACAGCTGTACGCAACTTTGAGTCGCGATCGTTCCTTCTGTTCGTAAGATGAATATATACGAGCGACTAGAATGATCACTAGAACAATTAACATATTAGTGAATATATATCTTTGCACTTTGAGTACTGTTAATTAAATATTTAATAGATAAGATGCTTCGCATATAGAACTTATTTTACATTTATAGAATTCGGTGTTTCTTCACATCTCAAGACTATTTATAAAAAAATATTCTTTAAATGTAGATATCTCTTAATTACTATGTTTAATAAAGTCAAATCTCTGCAATTGTTATTTTTTATTTTATCATTGTCGTAATTTCGGGCTGTGATTTTTTTTTTTAATTCGCGCGATCTGACGGGACGAATTTGAGAAAAAAAAACGCTACAGATCGCAAGACTTCGCGTGCCAGAAACGCGGAGAACGCGCGGGATTCACACGCACGTGCACATCGTGCGTGGCGACGCGTGTAAATGGAGGGCGGCGGTGACATATAGCGGCCGTACCGACCATTTAGGCGACTATTAGCAGCTTCACGGGATGTTTCACGCACGTGCGTCTCTTGTGACTGCAATAGAGCTCTCTCTTTCTCCTTTTCTTAAGAATAAGATGAAGAGAGAGAGAGAGAGAGAAGGGGATTTCTCTCGCACTTCGAGTCGATCGCTTGAAATGATAGCAAAGCTTTTTACGCTTACAAATTATGGAAAAATATATATAAATAAGCAAAAAAGAATTTTGATTAAATAAATAAATTAGATATATTGATGATAATTCGCAATTTTTTATAGTGAATTGTATGCTTATTTTTTTAATTTAAATTTTTTGATAACTTTGTTTTTTTACTGTTGAATTAATTTGTCAAAAGAGAGTTTTTTTTTACTTTATCAGATGTAAATAAAAGTCACAAACGATATCACTAACTCTGCTTGCTTTCTCTAATTCTGATAAATCAAGATGTTAATGATGACTGTGTTTAGCATCGAAAAAATTCTCTGGATCAGTCGAGTTTTACTCTGAACCACAAGAGACTTCTGAGATAATTCCACATCGAAGGGAAATCAAAGTTAATTCTAATCTATTTGTCAGAGATCATGTTCCAGAAAAAAAGCGCGGATAAGAAAATCCGTCTATTTTTATGCACACACAGAAATAATTTCGCTTCGTCCCAATTCGATTATAGCACAGAAATTAGATACTGCGCCGTAATATATCGTCAAAAGTAGATTTAATTAAGTATCGTAAAAAAAATTAATTGAATGAACTAACAATAAGAGTGTGTTAGGTATCGCTTGACTGATTTATGATAATCCTCGCATAGAATCTAAGGATCGTAAATTTACAATGTCGGACGGAATGAGCGTAGAAACACATTGGTACTTTGCTGCACGAAAGTGTTTCAAGTTTCTCAAAGGAATATCTAGCTTTTCACTTAGCGTTGCTGTGGTGAATTTGCATACCTTCGACTTCTATCTGATTATGAACAGGATTATGAAGTATGCAGTACCTGCAGTCAAGACTTCCATTGCTTGCATCAACTTCTTTTTCTATATAAAAAAGAATTATTTTAATTTTATTAATTATTTTTAAAATTTTATTTATTTTTTAAATTTTATTACTTATTTTTTAATTTTATTTATTTTTTAAATTTTATTACTTATTTTTTAATTTTATTTATTTTTTAAATTTTATTACTTATTTTTTAATTTTATTTACTTTTTTTTTAAATTTTATTACTTATTTTTTAATTTTATTATTTATTTTTTAATTTTATTACTTATTTTTTAAATTTTATTTATTTTTTTAATTTTATTACTTTTTTTTTAATTTTATTACTTATTTTTTAAATTTTATTACTTATTTTTTAATTTTATTATTTATTTTTTAATTTTATTACTTATTTTTTAAATTTTATTTTTTTTAAATTTTATTACTTATTTTTTAATTTTATTACTTATTTTTTAAATTTTATTACTTATTTTTTAATTTTATTACTTATTTTTTAAATTTTATTACAATTTTTGTATAAACTTTCAGACATTGTCAACAATATTTCGCATCTTGATTAAATATTTTAATACTTAGTTGTTAATAATAATGTTCATACATAATAATGTGATATACATTGCATTTTTTATCATTATGAATTTTTAACTTAAAAATATCAATCTGTAAAAATTGTTTAGCATTATTTAATCTAAAACAGGTTATATGTCTTCTAATATGCTCGAAAAATCGTCTGAGTTAATAGGAGAATATATTATGCGAAGAGGTAGTGCAAGCAGTGCGGCGATAAATGTCTTATATAAAGTCCGAAAAATCGTCTGAGTTAATAGGAAAACATATTAGGCGAAGAAGTCGTTTATTAGGAGAACATATTTGCAAAGAGGTCTGTCGGTAAAAGCAACGTCGATAAATTACCATCCTCGGTAAGTTACCATCGTATTTAACAACTATATTACCGACTTAACCTCTGTTACCTCTTTCAAAATATGTTCTCTTAATAGCGACCTCTTCGCCTAATATATTCTCCTATTAACAAAAATTATTTTTCGACCATAAAAGAGACATTTATTACCGCACTGCTTGCACTACCTCTTCGCACAATATATTCTCCTATTAACTCAGACGATTTTACAATTATATTAGAAGGCATTATTGCCAAACCGCTTGCACTACCTCCTTGCATAATATATTCTCCTATTAACTCAGACGATTTTCCAACCATATTAGAAAGCATTATTGCCGAACCGCTTGCACTACCTCCTTGCATAATATATTCTCCTATTAACTCAGATGATTTTTTGGATTATTAAGACATACGCAGTTAATAGGAGAATATATTATGCAAGGAGGTAGTGCAAGCGGTTCTACAATAATGCCTTATAATATGGTTGAAAAATCGTCTGAGTTAATAGGAAAATATATTAGGCGAAGAGGTAGGTGCAATATTGCAGCGATAAATGTCTTATATAAAGTCCGAAAAATCGTCTGAGTTAATAGGAAAATATATTAGGCGAAGAGGTCGCTATTAGGAGAACATATTTGCAAAGAGGTCTGTCGGTAATTTACCATCGTATTTAACAGCTATTATTGTGGTTGAAAATATTAAATATTACAAATTTTGAACTAATAAGGATATATCCCGACTTACAATTATTTATTAAAGAGGGAAAGGGCTATAAAATAGATATTTATTAATATATTAATGTAGGGAGTATATGATGAATATATCAAGATTTGAAATGTTTTTAAACTTTTAATTAATTTATTTATATTTTGTTTGTTTATACATTATATTAATATTCTTCACATATATTAATATTTTTAATTTGTAAAAATAGTGTTACGCATATATTAAATGAAACTATAATGCAAAGCAAAAACAGAATAAAAAAAGATAAAACTATAATTGTTAATACAACTTGTGCTTTTCAGTTTTTATAAATAATCGCTTCATAATACAATTATAATACAATTTAAAGATGCATAACCACAGAATAAATTGTTCTTAAAAAGGAAGAAAAATAAGAAAGAGTAAGAGCGCAAAAAATGAAATAAATTGGCACATTTTCAGAACAGATGGACGGATGTGAAAGCATGCAAAGAAAAAGAGATTAATCGATCGTCTAGTATCATCGGTGGCTTTTTTTCCGCACGGGAACACAAGATACGTGGCTTTTAAAGCGAGAGAAGTGGCGTCATGACGCGGACAATTTGTAGCGGAGTGTCAACGCGGCTGTTTCTATTTTCGAGTGCGCGACGAGCACATATATCTTTTCCTTTTTCTGCTTCTTCATCTCCGACACCTCTTCGTACTCTTCTTTTTCTTCTTTGCCTGCCCACCGACGACGTAAATCCATGCGTGGGCAGAGAAGGCGCGATTGCAGATCTCTTGACTGCTCTATATCCGCTTCTTTATATATCGGAAGCTTACATTTTCTCAGTTTTCTTATTGTGGATACAAGAGCTGTATATTTTCGTTCCGCAATTTATCAAGCGGAATGAGAAAAACGTCCGAGAATGATTCCTATTTAATAACTTGGCGGTATTATCTAAAATTATGGGGGCGTTATAGCCACGAATAAATTGAGTCGTAAACGCAGCGCGAGATAGTTTGAGTGACATAATGTTATAACGTGTGGATCTACACAGCTTGTGTCCATTGAAATAAATAAATAAATATGTAAGTCAAATGTATATAAAACAACAAATAACAAATACGATAAACATGCATACAAATTGAGTCTCTCTTTGATTTGTATATATACGGATTACAAAGATTTTGATAAGATGTTTGATACATCTTGACATCATTTCTTTATCGCCGATATCGAATTGTAATTGTAATTTATATGATATGCTTCTTTTAATAGGAATTAAATATAATAATTCCTGTATTATTAAAAATCTATTTATTTTCTAAATTCATGCACGATATTTAATAAGGCAAGTACGATCCTATCGGAGGATTAACAAAATTGATCGCGGAATTGTATTTGTTATACTTTGACGAAAAAAGCATACTTATCGCGAAATACTGAACTAGTGCATGCGTTCGTAATGATTTGCGAGAATATCGATATGACGTCAAACGAGCGATGATTCATCCGGTCTGTGCTGCGCACCGGATTTTTTTTCATCGTCCTTTTACATCAGTCGGAAACCCGAGTTGCATCGGGCGCGTGTGCATGCAATACGACAAATGTTCGCTGGCTTAGTTTATTCGTGCGTGCGTATTTCGCGAGAGCGAGCGTCGAATTCGAGAACGCCGACCTCAGCGTCGTTCTCTCGCGGATCTGCATGCGAATGCAGTTTTAGCGTAGATGCGCCTTCGTGATGCTAATGCACTTTGAACGGAAAAAAGAAATAATTATTAATCGTTCTTCACATGATTGATACGTATCGATGTTAAAATAAAACGAAAATCGCATTAAAATTACATCTCGCATTTAGAGAAATTACATTAAAAGAATCAAAAATTAAATTAACATTATTTCACATGTAATAATTTAAATCTTAAATCTCTAAATATTTAAAAATTCTTAAGGCGCAATAAAAATAGATTTAGGCATCGTCGCAGATAGAATATTGTTGTATTTAATTGTATGATTAAATAAAAACGATAGAGTAATTTGTTAAGTGACACAGAAATATAAAAAAAATGATAAAACGACTCGCGCTATTTTTCTTCAGTTCTTCAGATAAATTTGACTCTTCACACCTCCTCTTCCTGTTGGTGTTAATAACGAATATATTTTGCCTCAACACGCGCGCACGTTTCCTCTCGCGCGAGTGGTGGACCAAGCACGTACAACTCGTGCTAACTGCACCTCTTTATTTTTTCCTCTCTTGGCACATTGAGACACGTACGAGTATATCGATTTGACTCCGGCTTTAACGCACGCACTCTCGGCCATCCAAAAATTCAGAGGGAAACGCATAACATAAACAGCTGATGTATCCCAGAGTTGACGGATGTATGGCGTTTTGTTTTTTTTTTCAAATTTAAAATCAATATTTTCTGCAAAAATAAAAAATATTATCAATTGTCCATCAATTTGTATTTTTCCAACATGTTTGATATCTTGTTAATTAAACTCCAAATAAAAATTATATTGAAATAAACTTCGAATGTTTCATCATTTCGAGAACTTAATTTTGCGAAAAGATTTTATTTAATGTTTAATTATAATTTGGAAATTATATATCAATTCTAGTAAATTTTTTGCTAATAAAAATTGATTCCAAATTTATATATTGCTATTGTATGTTCCTTTTAAGATAATATAAACTTTACGTTTTGATAAATCAGAAATGACTGCGGAATGTATTTATTTTTATTGAGGAATAAAGTATAAATGGATGGAGTAAAAACCGGATATGAAAGAATACGAAAGCAGGTACTATACTTTCTGTTATATTAACAATATATTTAATCTTTAATGCCATTGGTAGTCGGCAATTATACGTAGTACCACTCTTATTAATTTATGTAATATAAACGTACTTGCGCACAAAATAAAATTTCATAATTTTAATACTTGATTCTAAATTACTCTCATTTTCTCTCTTCTTGCGGGGAATGATGATTGACGAAAGAAGAATAAACGATACTTGTGTACGCTATTCATCTCGTATCTCGATAATTAATCCTCTTCTTCGTCGTCGAAAGGATCATCGTCGAGATTAATACCCTGGAACAGAAGATAATTTTAGAAATATTCTTCGATAATATTAACGCTTAACGAAATATATACATATAATCACGTAATATCTCATTTATAAAACTCCATAATTTCAAAATCTTAAAAATGAGACGTCGAAGCGCATTCTTAAATGCACCATCGCGAATGAATGGGAAAAGAGCAGAAGGTAGAGCGTGACAAAACGTAGTAATGGTCGGAACCTTATGGTAGAAGGGCTTCGGTTCGACTCCGGAGTCGAATGTTATGAAAACAAGGCTGTAAACAAAATGCGGCGTGACTGCCTCGGAGCAAACAAGCCTCCGAAAAGCCTCTTGCAAAAGGCAGAAAAAAGGGGGGACAGAGAAAGAGAGAGTAAAAGAATAATTCTATTCTCTCGCATTTGTATCAGTTACACTGGGACAAGTCTTAATGATCTGTCACTGATTTTCATTCTACTACATACATATACGAAGAAAATGATTTGCATACTTATTATATACATGTAAATTTATAGTTATGAATTTGTAAAAAAAAAAAAAAAAGATTTACAATTTCATTAATATCACAAAATTATTTTAATCAATATGATTGATTTTGAAATAATTTTATGTGTAATAATTATAGCACTATCAAAACTTCACGCATGCGGATTTTTTAAATAATTTTTAAATCAAATATAGATTTTGTAAATATGACGTATACTTCGGTATGTCGTGAATATATGCGATATATATATATATATATATATATATATATATATATATATACCTATATCGTGTGTATACGATATCGCGCAGCCCCTTTCTTGCTGTGTTTGGTAATATTATACTCTTCTAAAGTTACACATCCATATTTAGGAACATTAAACCATTAATTGTACGCCCTCTAACCCTGATTTGTTCGCGCCTTCTTCGTTTTCTTATCTTTATCAATTTTATGATTGCGCGATATGATATATTTGATATTATTGTAAAACGTTTATAGATTATTATTATTATTATTATTATCATTATAATTTATATGCTGTATAATGTTGTGCTTTTCGCAGTGTACTTAATGAGAATTTCATAAAATGCAACCAATGAAACATATAACAAATCTAATAAATTAATAATATCAATCAAATTGAATTACGTGTAATTAATAATATATGTATAATTTTCTTCGACGTCGCGAAATGTGAAACATTAAAAATAAAATAGTATAACATATCAATATATGTAATAATATTTAATAATATATATATATATATATATATATATATTATAAAAGAATAAAATATTAAAATAAATAACTTACTGTAGTGTCGATATTATCATCGATCCCCAAGTCATCGTCCAGATCATCATCATCCAATGTGAGGGGCCTGAAATTACTCGCCGACTTCGTCGCTGCTTTCTCAGGTATCGCTGATTGCACGGTAGAAGTAGCCGTTTTAAAGGTTTCGTTTGAAAAACTGTCTTTTCCCGATATTGAAAGATCTTGTAATCTGTCGATTGTTGCTTCAGTTGACTGCGTTTCAAAAGTCGCACCGTCCTTAAATTGGAACGTGCCAGATTGTTCAGCAGCTAACATTTCCTCCAATGGCTTTCGTTCAACATTAGACTATAAAATTAATACAAATTGTTATACAATTTCTCATCCAATTCAGTAAATTAAATAATTTTATATTATATAAATAAAAAAAGTACATTTTACAAATATAATTAAATTTGATAAATAAATTTTAAAATGTTTTTAATAATGCAATAATTATTTCGTTGCATGTAATGATATAGTGGATAGCTATCGGTGAAACGTAAATTTTATCGACAAGCGAAAGATCGATTTTATATGGTACAATATTCTGTTGAGCAATAACAGTACGATAATAAACACGTGAGGGTGTAAGATCATTATTACAGGTAACGAGCGTGACGCGATTTTACAATGTGATTACGAGTATATATAAAAAATATTATTTAACTCTTTCACGGCGCGTTGTTGTCGTAATTATACTTCGTACGAGATTGCGGATTGATCGAGACGAATAACAAATTCGTCTCAGCAAGCCGATTTGCGTTCTATTAATACGCTCACAGTTTATTGTTTTTTCTTTAATCGCCTTAACACGTTATTTTAATCACGTTCGTCGATATATGTTCGCGATTCGTTTTTCGATATTTTCACATACTCGCGATCCGTCCTTCAATATTTCAAATTATATTTCATAAAATAACCACATATACCGTAACAGCAGGAAATGCGGAAGCTGGAATCTTCTTTTTGCTCTCTTCGCGCAAGAACTTCTCTACCTTCAGCGCTTCTTTGTACCCTGGGAAAAGATTCTCGTATTGTTCGGGATCCGCCAGGCTTTGTCCGGCTTTCTCGCTCACCGTCGACAGCTTCTCCTTCCACAATTTGATGACAGAGGAAATTTTACTAGGCGCGTACGTCCTAGCGAAGAACGCTGCTTCCGGAATTCTGTCCGTTTTAATAAGGATGTCGAGACACTTGTCCACGTCGCCTAGGATAAAGTTCGACAAGAAAGAGATGTTGTTCTTTCCCGTTTCGTCCGCGACCGCGCCGAGCTTCTCTATCATATTAGCATTTCCTGTGCTGGTCGCTAGTAACAACAAGCCGCCGAAATCTTGCGCTTGATGCAGACATTCTTGCGCTAGACACAACTTTCCCTTTTGCGTAGCGAGAGAAGCCAGCTGCCGCCACTTTTGCTGGCTATTTGCTTCTTTGGCGAGCGCATGCGCTGTCACGAGATTTCCAAGCGCGAGCGCTAATTCGAATCTATGCTCGGGATCTGTCGATACTGCCAAGGCTTGTTCTTTGAAACCCTGTAAATTTTATTTTAATTAATTTTAAGATAAAAATGAAAAGAAATATACTAATAGGTATGATAAGACCAGCGTGGTAGGCAGGGCACAAAATTATAACAATTATAAAGTCTTAAAACTAAAATTATGAAGGTAATACACTTTAATAATGAAATAAAAAGTAATAATAAAATAGAATTTAAATGGAATTAAAAATGAAAAGAATTTTCGAGACACACAAGCAGTTCCGTAATAAAAAAGAATATCATTAAATTATATGTATACCTGTTTCTCTAAGAAGTGAGCTACTCGTGTACGATGTTCCTTTGGGACGGTCGGTAATACTCTGTTAGCGGTCTCGAAATCTTTTCGCATGACCGCAGTCTGATACTCGAGCACTGATAATAATAAAGAATACGAGACCACAGAGAGTTCCTTATCGCACAGATACAATCTATTGTCTCTCGGTACATATCCCAATAAGTACATCGGTCTGTCCAGATGGGAAACTGTGACAATTTCACCACCGACGAAGTAATTAATGCGATTAACGCTGTTGGTATAAATAAAACAATCGCCAACCCATAAACCAGTTTTTACTACTTCGCTCATCTCTGCTACCATCTAAAAATATTTATTGTTCATAAATATGAAAAATAAAAATTAAAAAATTGTTAAAAGATAAACGTACCTCGAATGCATTCTCGATGTCCTCAGCATTTTCCGCAGCATTAGCAACAGCATCAGCATGATATTTTAGTATAAAATATTGATCAGACGTAGCTAGTGCTACCAAGGAAGCATTTTCAGCCCAATACACGTGTGTCGGTTGTATGTCTATGCGACGAATCAATTTCAACGTATCCCAATCGAAGAACGAGAGACCAGATCCGGAAGATACACCAAGTAAAAATCCGCCAAAGATACCTGCAATTGCGACATTTGATATATACTAAAATGAAAAAATTAATCTAAAACTATATGCAGAAATAAAAAAAAAAAATAAAAAAAATATATACCATCTGCTCCAAAATCTGGCTTGAAGCTCTTCTTCTCTTTGAAGTTTTTGAAGACCTTCACCGTCGTGTTACTTTCCCTCACCGCGTACTGACTAGAGTCCGCTGCCCATACGAATTCCGATGCCTGTCCGAATGCCTTGTTCCTCAATGCCATGGACGTATATATGATGTATTCCCCATCACCGCATACCACCAAAAACGGCCGTTCGGATTATGTTGTATGGTTTGCGGATAAATTTCACAGGCGCCCATATCCTTGACTGCTAACGGTAGCCGCTCTCCGTCTTGAGCCTCCTCGCCCAACGCCTTCAAGTTCACCTGCTGGATTTCGCTGTGACGCGCCCATACGATCTTTCCGCCCAATGAATCCATCGAAACTGCTGGTTCTTCTCTGCCAACCTTCACCATGACGCTACCCTCGTCATAACCAATGGCGACGTTGTTCGAACCGCGCATACACGCGATGGTCCATACTCTCTCGAAGCCGTAATTGAGAGAAGATTCTAATCTATATGTTCCGGCATGCCATATTCTAACTGTACCGTCTTCCGAGGCAGTGAGGACAATCGGTAATTCCGGATGGAAACACACAGCAGAAATATTCTGCGTGTGACCCTCCAAAGTCTGTACACAGGTCTTGTTTTGATAATCCCATATCTTGACGTATCTATCGTCAGCTCCAGATATCAGATACGGCTTGTCTCCTCCATGGTAATAATCCACGCAATTAACGCCCTTTTCGTGACCTTCTAGCGTAAAATTAGCCGTAGGTGAACCAAGCTGCCAAACTTTGACAGTTCTATCGAGAGATGCACTGGCAAAAGTGTTATTGTCTTTTGGATTAAACACAATCTGCATAACATAATGTGTATGCCCCTCAAATACTTGTTGACAGATCCAGGATTTCTCCCAATTCCATAATTTGATCCACATGTCATCTGCAAAATTCAATTAAAAGATATAGAGATGTAAAATAAAATATATAAAAGATATAGAATGAGAATTATATTATTCCGTAACATACCGCTGCTGGTAAGAATAAATGGCTGCGTTGGATGCACAGCTATACATCTGACATAATCACTGTGTGCTTCAAACGAATGAACGCGTTCCAATGTATTGTAATTGAATACTCTGATTTGCATGTCATCGGAACCAGTGATGACCCAATTCTTGCGTGGTACAAACTTGGCTGTCCGAACTGGTAAATCGCATACTTCGAATGTTTTCACCAAGGTTTGCGTCTCGTGATTCCAGATATTGACATTGCCTTGATACAAGGAGCACAGCATCCATGGTTCGGTCGGATGAAGATCCACACTCTTTACTCTGTCTGATCTGGCTGTCAGCTTTCGCTTAATGTCTAACCTAAGAGGCTGAAAGAGAAAATACTGTAAATTAATACACAACAATATTGTATTTGAGATCCTAATTGAGTTTTCTAATTTCGTTTTGATTCATTGTACTATTAAATAATAATATTATTTTTGTTCTATATACATATACATTAAAAGCTTACAAGATTTGCACCGAGAGGCAGATTTTTGTAGTAATTGTGGAATATTTGTGCGAAGAACGTGATGTTTTTCGATCGAAAAAATTCATCATACTCGTTACACGATTAATTCCTCATTATATGTTTAAGGGATGATATTTTGACATAACAAACGTGGAATGTCCATGCATGAACGAATGTCAAAACACACAGGTGTTTCATTTGACAGTATTGTTGCGAGTTGATTTGCGTAAGAATCGATGCATTTTCTATACGTACCATTTTTGTTTCGCGATTATTCTTCTTCTTCTTCTTTCCTTTTTGGCTGCTCGAGCTTGGCTTATACAGCATTAATTGACTGGTTGAATTTTTGATTTTCAGATCCCTATAATCTGAATCTGAACAATTTTCCAAAAAAATATATTTCACGACACGTCCGTTCACGTCCAACGACTCTTTCGCGATTACTCACTAATATTGCTAGATTATCGTCGCCGTTGCATTAAAGGATCCGAATATGCGAGAATATATACCTCTGCTCCTGCTGTGAAGTTAGGACGTGGCCGATGCCGCAAGCGAAAATGGCGTCTGACATCTCGCAAATGATATCACACGATAACCTACAGGATACCTCGAGGAAGAATTTCTGCGGGCGAGTTCTGCAGCAAATATTGAGATATTATAAAAAAAATTATTACTCGTTTAAAAGTCGAATTATATAAATATACAGTTGAAAAGATCGAAGAGAAGAAAAGAATTATGGTTAGACTGCGCAATTGATATAACACTGCCATCTATCGATAAAATAGTTTACTAATCCGCTTATTGATCGATAATATAGAGATCGCTTTTATCGATAACTGATATAATTTTTAAACAATAAATCTATATAGAAATAAAATGCTTTTACATTTCTTATCAAAGAATTATATCACTCGTTCTTCTACACATGCTTATTTATTTATATTTTAAATTACTCTTTCTTTTTCTGCTTTTTTTCATTTACAATATAAAATAAAAGATGTAAAAAAAAAACAAATTGTGTTTTTATTATAATATATTAATATTAATAAATTATTACGAACAATGAGTTTAATATCAAAGTGAGCTGATTCTTCTTGTTGTATGTCACTTAATTAAAATATAAAAAAGCTGACTAATTGACCGATAATGGAATGCACTATATAAAACGTTTATTTATAATATATCTTTCGCGCGTGTGCGAACAAAATATACAATTTCCAGGACGGATCACGTTTAGGTAATATCCCCGACAGTACAAATTATTGGCGAGAGATCAATAATGACGCATGTTTGATTTCGCTAACATTTCTTGGCAGCGACACACGTATCCGATACGGAAATTCTCTGACTATCGCGACAAAAGGAATGCATAACAATACTTTATCTGAGAAGAAAAAAGAGCGGCGAAATTGCGCGATCAGGCCCAGTCGAGCGCGAGATCTTTCACAGCTGAAACTGCATATTCGAATGCAGCTATGTCGTCTTCCGGTGTGCATTACGTTCTTCTTCTTCTTCTAGGTCAGCTCAACTTCAATTAATTTTAATTGATGCATTTTATATTCCATAGAATTTTATACGAGTAATGCAATTAAGAAAATTCAAAAACGTTATAACGAATAATAATACGAAATTTGTAATTTGTAATTCTGTACACAGGAATCGGGATGTGTATTAAAGCAGGACTTGCGCTTAGATTGGAAGATAAGGTGGCTCTATATCAAAATTGTACGATTTTCGATAATCCGGATATGTATGGTGGCCCCATATGCGGTGAAAATAGTGTCACATACTCCAATAGTTTATACCTAGATTGCAAAAATCATCACAGCCGCGACACTGGTAAGTTAATCTGTTTATTCAATGTAATTAATGAGAATTAATTATTAATTAAATAAAATTAATTGACGACGATATATATTATAGTGCATAATAAATATTTATGATATTGAATTTTAAAAAATATTAACGAGATATTAATATATCAATGTAAGGAAGATTTGTGCAAAAATAAGAAATTTTAGAATTCGTCTAAAATTTTTCGAATTTTTTGCAGTTGCTACGTTGCATTCCGGTCCGTGCTTGGAAAATGAGAAATATTGCACCGTCGAGATACATTACGAGCCGGTTTGCGGATCGGATGGCAAAATTTACACAAGCATGCAATCGCTTCTATGCGTTCGTCAGAAACAATCAAAAGGTAAAATCTTCACCTTTATATACTATGTACTATATTGAAAAAGTTTTATATATTTTTATATTTTATTTATTTTCAAGCTTTTATTTGCCGAGAGAAGAATCTCTCATCGTTTTTCCAAAGTTGTCTCTAACTAAACAATTTGAGAATAATATAGAGACAACTTTCGAAAAATTGCGAGAGACTTTTCTCTCGTTAAATAGAAGCTTCGATATAAAATTTTGTATATAAAGTTTTTTATATAAAATTTTGCGAGCGCATTGATAAAATTGATTTTTATATTTTATTTATTTTCAAGCTTTTATTTGCCGAGAGAAGAATCTCTCATCATTTTTCCAAAGTTGTCTCTAACTAAACAATTTGAGAATAATAGAGACAACTTTCGAAAAATTGCGAGAGACTTTTCTCTCGTTAAATAGAAGCTTCGATATAAAATTTTGTATATAAAATTTTTTACATAAAATTTTGCGAGCGCATTGATAAAATTGATTTGATCGCGTCATTGCGAGCTAAGAAGTTCTCCTCGCGAATTCGGCAAATGAAACTTTGACCTGGTTTCAGATTTGACATCCGTGTCGATGGCGAACTGTCGACAGGACGATCATTGTTATCGAGATGGGACGGAACATTACGGGATGAATCCGATTTGCGCCAATAATGGGTTCACATATCAGAACGCGGCGCAGCTCAAGTGCCTGCAACGATATAACCCTGGTAAGGGATTACGATGAAAGTTACGCGAAAGAGCGCTTAGTTACAGTTCGCCTAATTACGGCAGTAAGTAGACGGGAAATATCGTTCAAACTCTCGCGCGCGACGCGCTAATTATGCCCAATTCATTTGGAAAGTCCCGCTCGAAATTGAACGTTTTGCCGGGATATTTTTGCGATCCTACGTTCGGATCATTCTAAATTTCTCAAAATTATTATAATCCTAATAATCTGAAAAATTAAAGTACAAATTAGAATTAGAAAATGGAAATATTAAAAATTATGAAAATTGAGGAACACTCTGATAATCCAGATTAAAATTCAATTTAGAAAATTAAGATTGATATTAAGATGCGTTCCTTATTTTTATCTTTTTGCGATCCTCCTATTCGAACCATTCTAGATTTATCAAAATTATTATATATCCCAACAATAAGGAATTAAAGTATAAATTAGAATAAGAGAAAATGGAAATATATATATTTTGGAAATATAAAAATTGTTAAAATTGAGAAACAATCCGATGGTCGACATTAAAATTGAATTTAGAAAATTAATTAAGACTGATATTAAAAATGTTTAATAAGAAGTGACAATTGCGCTTATTGAATGGATTATTATCACGAATCACATTGAAAAATGTTGCGCTATGTGTGCAATTGTTAAAATTGAGAAACAATCCGATGGTCGACATTAAAATTGAGTTTAGAAAATTAATTAAGACTGATATTAAAAATGTTTAATAAGAAGTGACAATTGCTTATTTAATGGATTATTATCACGAATCACATTGAGAAATGTTGCGCTATGCGTGCATTCCGTTTCGACTTGAAATCAGCGTATCTCAGGATATATTTTATTTCTTTAGAATTGCAAATTATTCACGACGGTGGTTGTCGCGTGGAATTCGTTCACCAGCTTTACAATGCGGCGGTTTGTGACATCGCGAAAGTGAGATATGAATGGAATCCGGTTTGCGCATCGGATGGAGTTACTTATTCAAATCCTTTTCTCTTTCTCTGCCATCACCCACGTACGTAATAATTTACGTATTAACAAAATCATTTATATACTTTTTATCGACGAATTTCCTCTCATCCATTTTTCAAATCACTTTTGTCGAAGCAGCAAAAATATTTTCAAATGGCGATCAAATTTTAATTTACAAACGCAAATTTATAATAAATTAATCTAAATGCAATCTAACTATATTATAACTAGAAAATTTAACTTGAATTTATTTTAAATGAGTTCCGGAAGAATTTTTATTTTTGCGATTTAATCGAGATAATGGAATATTTCAGTATTAAGGAAACTTTCTCTCGGTAATAGCTGTAAGATGTTGAATGTATACTTGTTATATTTCTGTTACAATACAGATCTAAATGTAATTTCCAACGGAGAGTGCGACACGCATAGCCACGATTCTTGCGTAGAAGCGCACACAAATATGACGATTTTGCCAAACGGCGAGTACGTGAACGAAGCCTTTACCGAGGATGATGAGGTTTGCGGAAACGACGGTCGCACGTACCAAAGCGAACATCATTTGCAATGCCACACACGTCACGACAAATGTAAGTCCCGCGGCGCAAAGATATGACAGCAACATTTCACCAAATGTATCATTCGTAACAGCTAATTATATTACTGTGTAAAATCGATTTATTTTCACTTATGGTCGCGATTTATTTAAATATTGATGGAAAACATTATTTACCTATTTAAATTTACATTTGTGAAAATTGTATATGTATATATAATTTTTATGCAATATATATGTATATACATGGAGAGAATTTATTCTTAGAATTTACCCTGAAAATCATGCTAATCGTGGGACAATATTGGAAGAATTTTACAAGAGTTTCTCTGATTAATATTTACCACAGTAAAAATATTAATATCTACTAGAATAAGATATTAATATTTTTTAAATAATAAATAGTAATAAATATTAATCAGAGAAACTGTTATATAAAATTCTTCCAATACCATATTGTCTCACGATTATCATGATTTTTACAAGAGTTTCTCTGAGTTTCTAAGAAAAGATTCTTTTTGTGTACATACTGTGTAATTTAATGTAAAGATTTTATTAAGACATTATATGTATTAATAAAATCTTTAATAAAACGATACTGATATTTTGTTATTATACGAGGGCAATGTTACTTCTCTTCCTATTATGCACAGTTGAAAAATTTCTGTTAAATAATTACATGTCACACGTTCCAAACGGTCCACTGAAACTTTCTGTTAATTTAACTTAATATGGATATGTTAAATGGAGACAATACTGTGTTAATATTTTAACACAAAATAAATGCAAAACTTCAAGTAATTTAAAATAAATTTTGCGTAAAATTAATAGTTTTAATGTAAGAGAATTAACTAAAAATATGTTGATTTTAGATTTTATAATGCCCACTTATATTATAAAATAAAAAATCAACATTTTTTTCTTAAATTTTCACAGATATAAATATAGTCATTAATAAAACAGAATATATTTATTATGCAAAATTAAAAAATAGACGCACATTTATTTTTACATCTTTTTCAATTGTTTTACTAATTTAACATTTAATATGTTAAATTAATACACGAACGTGTTAAATATTTGACACACAAGTTTCAACGGAGACCGTTTTTAACAACAAAATTTCCCGTGCAATTTAAACAACAAATTTTCCTACCGTGCAGACCTGTTTTTAAAGTTAAAAATAGATGTTTTACATCTTACTAATTTAATTTAATATGTTAAATTAATACACGAACGTGTTAAATATTTGACACACAAGTTTCAACGGAGACCGTTTTTAACAACAAAATTTCCCGTGCAATTTAAACAACAAATTTTCCTACCGTGCAGACCTGTTTTTAAAGCAACATGGTCATCAATTAAAAATAGATGCACATTTATTTTTACATCTTTTTTCAATTATTTTACTAATTTAATATTTAATATGTTAAATTAATACACGAATGTGTCAAATATTTGACACACAAATTTCAACGGAGACCGTTTTTAACAAGAAACTTTCCCGTGCAATTTAAACAACAAATTTTCCTACCGTGCAGACCTGTTTTTAAAGCAACATGGCCATCAATTAAAAATAGATGCACATTTATTTTTACATCTTTTTTCAATTATTTTACTAATTTAATATTTAATATGTTAAATTAATACACGAATGTGTCAAATATTTGACACACAAATTTCAACGGAGACCGTTTTTAACAAGGAACTTTCCCGTGCAATTTAAACAACAAATTTTCCTACCGTGCAGACCTGTTTTTAAAGCATCATGGTCCCTGTTCCGGACCGGATGATCATCCCTGCGGATCGATACCGGAAGAGGATCACAGACGACCAGTATGCGGAACCAACGGCAGGTCCTACGTGAGTCCGGAAGCTCTCTGGTGCGCCAAATTACGTTCCCCGGCGGAAGGTGAGACCTGTAAATCGTACAGTACATCTGTAAATTCCACGGAAACGCGAATTCCTGCCTAGATATTCCTGCATTTTCACTCGGACTTCTTCCTTCATTAACTCGCGCATATCGCGCGATGGAAGTCTCAATTTTGTCTCGACGAAGATATATGGATCCTCATCGCAACAGTAATTTTCATACATCTTATTATTATATGATAACGAGATAGCATCTCTCTTTTTCCGCGCACATAGCGATTTTACGATTAAACTCTATCGACTTGAAATTACACCGTAGAGACGAAGTCGTGATTTTCATGGCTCGAGCTCGAGATTATAGGTATCTCGCGTCAATATTCGAATGTTGAAACGCAACGGATACAAAAGAGAACGGTTCGTTATAATGAGACAAAAGCGTTTCTCGATCGATGATTGAATCTTGAAGCTAAATAATAAAGCGTCTTGTTTTTGCAGATATTGCTTACAAGCACGATGGTCCCTGCTGACGAAGATGTTATGAGATATTTTGTAGAAAACTATTCAATCATTATTTCGCTTCCGCCTCATCTAGAAGTCAGAAACAAAAACTCTTTCAAAGCGGTTTCGAGATGAAATAAAAAATAAATAGGATAACAATTTTTCTATAAAATATTAATTGTATAAGAGAGTACACTTGAAAAATAAAATTGACACAAATAATATCGATGGTTTTTAATTTCTTTTTGTTGTTTAGAAAACATTATAATCTATATTTGTTCTTGTTTGCCTATGCAAGAATGAAGATTTTAATTTAAATAAATGGATAAATACACATTTTTTTAACTGTTATACATAAATTTTTTTAAATACATCAAAGAAAGAAGACCAGTTATATATGTAGTGCGAAGAATTATACGAAGTAGCAATAACGTTAAATAAAACGATAATTATGAAGATAATTATAACGTTGATTATAATAATTGTTATAATGTTTACTAAAATTTATATATATATATATATATATATATATATCAAAATCATAAAAAAACATTATATATAAGTTAGTCATATAGTTAATACAAAGAAAAAAAATCAGGACTCAGAACATGTATATGATATTATAGATGCTTTAAATTTTTAAATATTCTTTCGACGAATTAGAAGTTTATTCGTAGAATTGCATGTATGCGAATGTGATATTCAATGTGGTACGTGCTTTTGCAAAAGACAGAGGAATTAAGATTCCATCGGAGGATGGACATTGCACAGCAATGTGATAGAATTAATAGCATTTGAAACAAAACTTGAAAATGTAATTATTAGCTAATGCATTGCATAAAGTTCTAAAATTTATTCTGAAGAAGTTTTGTTTGCTTCAATCTGAACAGATCACTATAGATATATGCAAGATGCAAAAGAAAATAAGAATCGAAAAAAGCAAGATACTATAAAGAAACTAAAAATTCCAGTGCAAAAATATAAATCGTATGAGTTTAGCAATTATTAGATTTTGACAGAAATGTTATTGCTAATTGTGCTCTCGCAATGCACAAAATAAATTGTATCTAAATATATCTGCCAAATGTAAAATATGTAAAGTTATATGTTCACATAAATGTTATTCTAAGCAAAATTGTACATATAATTGTTTAAAGAGTTATAATTGTTAATTTATCCTGTATGGCAATCGTTTACAGTAAAAATAAAAATAAAAATTAATATTTTATATTTTGGGAAAAGTTTGTAATCACGTTTCATTTTAAAGATCAGAAATAAAATTGGAAAAAAGAAATTTTTATATATTCTCCAACAAATAATTCTATCAATTTATAATACTTAAGAGCTAATTCGCAAATCATTGTTTGCTTCATCTTCATTTATTTTTTTTAAATAATTTATTTGTTATTCTGATATAATTCTCCCAGAAAATAAATAGACATACTCGTACAATACTTATTGCTTAAAGTATTTATTGAAGAAGAGCGCGGATAAAAACATACATGTTTGTATTTAATCAGCGGTAATAGAAATCATATTTATTTGACTTTCAAGGATAAATTTTACCGAATAACGAAAACTTATTTTATTGCCAATAGACATTTGGTCGTCGTATCGTTCTGATGGATGACAAAATGATGTTCCGATTGTTATTATTGTAAGTCATATTTTCTATTAACATTATTTCTTTTTATCATATATTATACTCTACTCAGTTGAAATATATGCATCAAATTTACCTACTTACATATATGTAATGAATTACTTATAATACAATGAATTTATCTTGTAAAGATGCCTAATAATATTATACGTGCAAGTTTATGATTTTAAAATATAATATAAAAATAATGATAATAAATTAAAAGATTTCTTCTTTATCACTTTGTTACGAGATGTTTTTGAAACTATTGTGATTATGTGCTTATGATTACACAATCCTAATGATTATCATTGATTGTTGATTTGGTTCCGGTTTCTAGATTATTCTTTTAAAAATAGTATCTATATATAAATAAGCATAATTCCAATTTTTCCAATTCGAATGTTTATTAATAACATGCAAGTTCTCGATCACGATAATGATGATTCTTTTAAAAGACAGAGATGCAATGTTTTCTGTACATTCCTCGTTAAAAATACAGTAATAAATTGGTTTTAGATCATAGATGATTCGTTTTCTTGCAGATATTTCGAAATAATTGTCATAGGGGCGGTGAGAATTAATTTGAATGAACGAGCTCATTATTGTTATGATAAACCAACTTATAAGGAGGAATATATGAAGTATGAGAAAGTACCACCCTACATAAAGTATGAGAAGTATTTTGAGATAACTGACATGTTCGGTATGTTAATACATATCAATATAAACAAGAACATATAGTATCACTATTTCAGTGATTCAATTATTTTATATATTATTATTATTGCGTACAGCATATGATGAGAATATTTGAATGTTTGCATTTCAAATAGTTTATATTTCCATAATTTATAATATCAAATATATTTTAGTTAATGTATACTTAAATTAATTAATACATTAGTTATGAAAAATTGTATATATATATATATATATATAACAATTTTGTATATATACAATTTTATATATATATATATAACAATACATATATATATTATTTCTTGAATTTAGATTATTTCTCGGAATTTTCGGATACGCAAGCAATAGATGCACTTATAAATAAGTCCACTGAATATTGCAATTTGTATGAGTACACTTGCGATATTTGGAACAAAGTCAATGATAAGATGCCACATACAAAGGGTTTTAACCAATATAAAATATATTATAACGTAAAAAGTATGTACTTGTCCTTCTAATAAGTGTAGCGATATATATATAATTAAAAGCTATCTTGCACCACACAAAGATCCTCTGAAAAGCATTTAGCATTAAATTACAATGTGAAATATGTGTTAAGACGATAAAAATCTAATAAACGTAACTTTACAAAGATACTCTTTTTTTTTAGAGCTTCTAAACAAAGAAAGCAAATACGATCAATTGTCGGTCATAAAAAAAGTCAAACAACTTTATCAGTCATGTATGGATGAAGGTAGAAACTTATTATTATTATTTTTATTATTTATAATATTTATTCTCATTAATATCTAAATAATTATGCATTATTATTCTTTTTAACTATTATATTCTATTCGACAATTTAAATATCCCTAATTATTAATATTAAACAATTTTAAATCACAAATGTATATATTTCAATTTGATTTAATACATAAAATATTAATAGTAATAAAAACATGTTTGCAATTATTCGATATCATCCATTTTTTTTATTTTGCCGATCGCATTACAGACACTATTGAAGAAAAAGGATTAAAACCTATGCAAGAATTGTTAGATGCAACTGGGGGATGGCCAATTCTAATGTCTGACGAAGAGTGGAATGCGAAAAATTATACATGGCAACGGGTGAACAATGTATATTTTAAATTGTTCTCCTTTTCTATTTTTTTCGACATATCATGTGAATTTAATTCTCTATATTCTGGCATGCTTACGGTATATCTTTCTATTTGCATATATCTGTTTATACATTTTTGTGTGCGTGAGTGTGAGAGTGTGTGCGTTTTTGCATAATACTTATAAGCTTTTAATTACAATGACAAGATTTGTTGTATGCATTATATGTAATCGTGGTAATAAAATAACAAATACCAACATATTTAATACAAATGATTACAGATACGTCCATTTTCTCAAAATTTTCTCGGTAAAGAACTAAAAATTGATATACAACAATCGTCTATCGATATGAAGACACTAATGCAACTAAAGTTGAATGAGACCGGAGAATGGCCAAAATACATGAAGACAATAATGAAGGTGGTACGTGCATTTGCAAAAGACAAAGGAATTAAGATTTCAGAGGAGAAGCTGCGTATGGATGTAATACAATTAATTGAATTCGAAATAAAGCTTGAAAACGTAATTATTTACACCAACGTTAGAGTCTTGATGTCGATAATTTAAAAGAGAAGTTTTAATAAATTCATTTATTTTAACATTTTCATAGATTATTGGCCACAAGAAAAAAATGCATAAAATAATTTATACAGCTGGTGATAAAATGACAATTGCGCAATTACAGGAATATTATGACGTTGATGGTCCTCGATTCAAAGCAAAGGTATTATAATAATGTCACTTTTAAAATAATTAGTATAAGTATAAATACTTAAAATATTCCATTATTGTTATTATATACTTATTGCTTGTCTCAAATTGTAAATACTCGATTCCTATACAATTGATTTAAACATTATTTATAATGAATAAAACATGGCATATAAATGTATTTTCTATAAAAATATATTGATATGTATGAATATGTAATCTTTGTCAATCTTCTAGTTTAAAACAAAATATTAATTTTTCAATATAAATACTTGATAAAATTATGCTTGTAATCGTACGAGTATAATTTCTATTCACCGACATTTACATACGATTCTATAATTTCAGATTAATTGGCGGTATCTAATAAAAATTGCTCTTGACCAACTTTTTATAGATGACATATCTGATTCTGAAACCGTCGTTGTATTTTACAAAGAAATTTTACACGATTTGGGATATCTTCTAAATGTTACTCCGCAGCATGTTATCGGTAACGTATGAAAATATAAAAGTATATTCTTATTGCAAGAATAAAAGTTCATGCTTAACATATTTCTCCACAGTGAATTACTTACAATGGCATGTCGTGCGAATATTTATGAGTAACTTGAATAAAGAAATGAGAAATATTGAATCAGAATATTATTATTCACATGACATACATCCGTCTAAAATTATTAATTATGAGACGGAGCAACGGTGAGTTGTGAAAATTAAAGTTACATGTATGTTCGTATTTTTAATATATAAAAAATTTTAATGAATTCTTTTTAAATTTATAGATGGTTAAAATGTATTGAGGAATTTCAGATGAAAGATGCCTTGTTCTACCTCTATGTAAAATCATATATTTCAGAAAATGACATACAAGCTGTAAACTTTTTATACATAAATCTTTTCAAAAATGTTTATTCAAGATATAAACAAGTAAATTTTTGAAAGAAAAAGTAATTTCATTCATCTCTGTGTTTAAGGTGTCAAACATATTTGAAGATGTAAAAAAAGAGATGATACATTATATGAAACATTCAATGAAACAAAATGAGTTGACGAACCTTATGATGCAGAAAATTTACAATATATCACTGCACATTGTTTATCCTGATTGGCACGATGATCAAATAATAGTTGAAAAGTATGAATGGGTAAGCATCTATCAATCATATAATAGATATATTTAATATTATTAATTTGTTTGTATTAATTCATAGTATAAATAACATCAAGTGCAAAATGCAAATAATCGAATTTCTCCGTTTCTAGTTGAAAATTCATGACTATTATTTGGTAAATGTATTGGCTATCATAAGATATGAAAATATATTAAGATCAAGAAATTTCCGCGAATTTAACTATATAGATGAGAATTTATACAGGTACGTTTTTATTATTCAAAATTAATTAACTTCAATCAAACAGGTATATAAAATATACTTATAGGTGGTCGCTAGATTTTTTATCCAACAAACCCAGTTATAACGAGCCATCTAATGAGATAGGTAAGTCTATAATTGATATATGAGATAATATAGTACATAAAAAATTTATTTATCCTAATTGTAATATTTTCAGAAATACCTGCTATTATGATGCAGTATCCATATTTTTCATTCTATGCATCAGAGTAAGTGTACAAAGTGCAGAACGTTATTAACAATAAGTAAAAGAATTAAAATTTGATCTTATAATTTAAAATTACAATTTGTTTTTCAGGGCCACTAATTATGGTGCAATAGGTTCGATTATTGGACAACTGTTGGTTCGCAGTGCATATTTTTATATTGGTGAGTATAACGATGAAATTCTCAAATCTTTTTCTATCTCGTTCATTGTTTGAAACTTATAGAATCATATTTCGACGATTATGATAATTTAACATTGAAAGCTGAAATCAGACAAGCTTTTGAAAAAGGATCGCGATGTTTCTTTAAACGAGGTCACAATTTTATTCAAAATGTAGTGAACGAAGAGAATCCAGAATATATTAAAGTACGTATAACACTATATCAATTTGATAGTGATTAATGTGCTTGTTAATCCCTTATAGAAATTTATTACTATAGTAATGCCAATTTATCACTCATTTCGAGTACTTAAATTACTGTATATTAGTATTTTAAGTACTCGAAATAAGTGATGAATTGGCATTACTAGTGATAAATTTCTACAAGGGATGCATGTATTTTACTGTTTATTATATATTTTTTCCAAATGACAATTAAGGAGCGCGAAAATATGTGCAAGATTATGTGCAATATATAATTGTCATAAGTTTTCGGTTTACATTTAACAAGTTCAACAATTTGTATCGGATTTTCATTAAAATTGATTTTCATTAAAATTTCAGTTGTATGAAAATCTTGTTAAGGACGAAATCGTAGCACATTTTATTGGTATGCAAGTTGCTTCTCAGGCATTTATTGCAAAAAAGAGCTTTTCATTGCTAGATTTCTATGAATTACTCGAGGATTATATTTGCTCAAAATCAGAAATAAATTTCACACCGGAACAATTATTCTTTTTAATTAATACATTAGTAAGTATAAGAAGATTGTCTAACAATAAGTATGTATTATATATATTTTATAATACATTACATTTACATATGTGTAAATACAATATGTATATACATATATATGTATATGTATATATGTATATTAAATATGAAAGCTTATTTTCAAAATTTGTATATTATTATAGTAACAGGAAATGTATTTAAAACACATTTGTATAAAAATTATTTTAAATTATTTTATAGCTAATATGCGGAATGAAAAATCCTTACGAAAATTTTATTAATATTACCAGTGTTAGAATGCAAATGACAGATAATCTAGTTAATATATGGACTTTTCCTGCGGCATTTAATAATTGTTCATTTAAGTGTGTTAATAATGTTCGATTGTTCGATGAATTCTAAATCAAAATGCGAAGTGTGGAATAATCTGGCATATGAAGAATTGAAGAATATATTAACTATGGACAAATTAAAAAAGTCAGATGACAAATTATGGACAAATTTAATAAGGTATTAGCATGAATGAAATCCGGATGAATGCTATAATATTTGTCCGTTCGAATGCTTATGTGTAATGCAAAAAACGCGAAATATATAGATATTAGTTATTATTACGCGTAATTTTTGTACTTTATTGTAACTGGACGAGCTCAGCAGTGTGACAATACAAAATAAAATTGCGGAGATAAAAATATCCTTCTAGTGTTAGGTATAATTTCATTTATATATTATGTGATGTATATGACATGATATAATAGGTATGAAGATATAATAGTGATACATGTACATATGCATCTAATATACATATACATATTATATATGTTACCTATTATATCTGTCACATATTTATTTTATGTATTTATTTTAATATATATCTATATATATATACACATATATATGCACATATATGTATATGTATATAAATTAATTAAATATACATATATATATATAATGTGTATTTATATATAATCACTTCTGTTGTCATCTTCAGCTTTTAGTATGCAACGATACATACAACAGTATTTATTCGCATTTTAATTATCATAATAATAATATTGTAAGAGCATTTTGTTAATATTTCACGAAAAGTAAAAAAATAAAGCATTTTGTAAAAAAAATTATATACATTTTATATGTATGTGTCTATACATTCCCTGAATATACTCTATACTGTTATTTTATTACATATATATGTATATACAATATATTATATTATGTATGTATTATATTTATTAGATATCTACATAATAATATATAATACATATATATATATATAATTAAATATATAATTATTTATATACATTATATTTTTATGTAATCTTGCGTAACTATTTCTTCTGTCATCGTTTATATTTTAGTAAAAACGACGCGTACAATAGTATTCATTCAAATTTAATTATACTTAACAATTGTTTTAGACTTTAGAAAATATAAATTTCTGATCCTATAAATTTGTGATGAGCAATTAAGAAAACATTTACAATAATAAGATTATAATGGCATAATGAATCAAAAAGGTAAGAAAATAATTAAAAATAATTAATTTATTAAAATAAACATTTTTTAAGTCAACTTATATACATTTATATAACATATTTATTCCTTTTGTGAATAAACTTTATACTATCACTTTATTACATATATTAGAGTTATTTTTAAGTTATTAGATTTTAATAACAAAAATTGCTACTTATACTCTCATAGCGTACGAAAATTGTATCTAATATTGTAAATCTATCTTTATTGAATATAAAGTATGTCTGTATAAATGTCATTACAACTAAAATTATACATATGTGTGATTGATTATAAAGTTGTAATTATTATATATCATGTATATATGTCTTTTGTGTAAAAATAAGAATTAATATTTTATATTTTGTGATATGTTTATAATATTATTACATTTTACAGATCAGAAATAAATATATTAAAAAAATTTTGTTATATACTCCCGAACTAACAGAGAGAGAGTTTATACCATTTTATTATATTTCAGTACTACTTCAAAAATTATTGTTTTTTTTTTATTTTTATTCATTACTGTTAATTTGAGATATAATTTTCTCAGAAAATAAACACATAAGATACCTATTTTTTGAAGTATTATTTTTCAGAGGGCGCGAGAGAACAATATATATGTTCACATTTGATCGTTAATCAAAGTCATTTCTATTTAAGTTTCAAGGGTGAACGTTTCCGAATAATAAAAATTTATTTTCGAGTAGGTATATGATCGCTGTATTGTTCTGGCAAATCCTCAAATGAAAAGATGTTCCGTTTGTCGTTACTGTAAGTTAATTTGCTTTTAACATTATTTCTTCCTAACATATCATACATTCTATTAAATATATTACATATATTATATACATTCTATTAAAAGTCAAAGTTTAATTATATGCACTAGGTTTACGTATAATTTTACATGTATAACGAATTATTTATAACATAATTACTTGTACAATGAACTTGCCTTGTAACACAATGTTTAATAAAATTATACGTACGAATTTAGAATTTTATAGTAAGATATAAAAATAACGATAATATAAATTGGAAAAGTTTTTCTTTATCGTTTAGTTATAAAATATTTTGGAAATTATTTTAATTATATATGCTTACGATTGCACAATTCTAATTTAATTCCCATTTTCAGATTAGCTAGGTTTAAAATATCTAACATGTATATAAATGGATTTTATCTCGAATTTTTATCGATAACATGCAAATTCATGATCTGGATAATAATAAACTTTTTTAAAAACAGCGATGCATCGTTTCTTTACGTAGTTTACGTTGTTCGTTAAACATTCATAAATAAATTGATTTTTGTGAATCGGTCATAGATAATTCAATTTTTTACAGACATTTCGGAATATTTGTCATAGGGGTTCTGGGCATTAATGATAATAAACGAGATAATTATTATGACAAAGATGCCAATAAATATTACAACGAGGAATCTTTTGTGTACGAGAACAAATCTTGCGAGGAGTATGAAAAGAAATCTTACGAGAAATATCAGGAGGAATCTTACGAGAAATATGAAACGAAATCTAACGAGGAATGTAAGAAAGAATCTAATGAGGAATGTGAAAAAACATCTAACGACGAGTATGATCTAACTGACAGATTCGCTATATATAATAAATTAATCGCTATATAAATTTTTGAATCGGTCATAGATGATTCAATTTTTTGCAGATCTTCCGTAATAGTTGTTCTAGGAGCTAAAGATAATACACGAAACGATTTCCGTGATATAGATGTGAATAAATATGAGGAATCTTATGTAAAGTATGACAAGGAAGCTTACAAGAAGTATGAGAAGGAATTTGACGAAAAGTATGAGGAAAAATCTAACGAAACATCTAACGAAAAGTTTAAGAAGAAATCTTACAAGATATATAAGGAGAAATCTTATATAAAGAATAAGGAAGAATTTTGCAAGAAATATGAGGAACAATCTAGCGAAGAGTATGAAATAAATAACACATTCGGTATGTTAATGCATAGCAGTATAAAAAAAGAACATAGCATCACTATTTTATATGCTTCAACTATTCTATGTATTATTATTAGTATTATTATTAATATTATCAATAATATTATTGCATATAAAATATTATGATTAAAATATTTGTATGTTAACATTTCAAATTTATAGATTTATAGATAAAATATACTTGTAATTATATTGTATTTGTCAAAGGATAAAACAACACAGTTTAAAAAATAATCCAACAATAATTGTGATATTTCCGTAATAAACAAACTTGATTTATTTTTTAACATTTTTGTATAGAGATTAATCTTTTATTTAAACTTTTTTTATTGATAATATTATAATATATACAGAATAAAATAATATATAAATAATAAAAAGAAAAATTATAAAATAAAATAAAATGAGAAGCTATAATGTATCCCTCTTTTGATGTTTAAACCACTCTTAATACATTAATTTGTCCGATTTATAAATAAACAATATATACTTTAGTCGATATACCTATACTTAAATTGATATTATTTTATTTCTTCATTTAGATTATTTCTTGCAAATGAATATGATAGATACACTTATAAATAATTTCATCAATCCTTGCGCCGATTTTTACAACTACACCTGCGAACTTTGGGACCAACTCGGTTCTATGGTACCGGCATCAAAAAATTATAACCAGAATAAAATCTATTTTAGCGTAAATAGTATGTACTTGTCCCTCTATTATGTGTGGTGATATATAATTAAAGTCTCTATATTAAAATCTCTCTAAATTAAATCTCTACACAAATGTTTTGAAAAGCATCTAGCATTATATTACAATGTAAAAATTTAAAACGATAAAAATGTACTAATTTTACATACAAATTCTTTTTTTTCAGAACTTCTGAAAGACGAAAGCAAATTTAATCAACTGCCATTCATAAAAATGGCCAAACAACTTTATCAGTCATGTATGGATGAAGGTAGAAACTTATTATTATTATTATTTTTATTATTTATAATATTTATTCTCATTAATATCTAAATAATTATGCATTATTATTCTTTTTAACTATTATATTCTATTCGACAATTTAAATATCCCTAATTATTAATATTAAACAATTTTAAATCACAAATGTATATATTTCAATTTGATTTAATACATAAAATATTAATAGTAATAAAAACATGTTTGCAATTATTCGATATCATCCATTTTTTTATTTTGCCGATCGCATTACAGACACTATTGAAGAAAAAGGATTGAAACCTATGCAAGAATTGTTAGATGCAACTGGGGGATGGCCAATTCTAATGTCTGACGAAGAATGGAATGCGAAACATTATACATGGCAATTAGTGCATAATGCATATTTTAAATTGTACTCCTTTTCCATTCTTTTCGACATATCATATCAAACTGATTATGCAAATTCTGACATATTTATGGTATATCTTTCTATTTAAATATTCCTGCATAAAGAAATATTTTTGTGTGCGTGAATGTGAGAGTGTGTTTTTGCGTAATATTATAATATTATAAGTTTTTCATTACAATGACAAGATTTGTTGTATGCATTATACGTAATGTAATAACAAACATCAACATATTTAATATAAATGATTACAGATACGTCCATTTCCTCAAAATCCTCTCGGTAAAAAATTAAAAATTGATATACAACAATCTTTGTTGTCTTTCGATATAAAGATACTAATGCAACTAATGTTGAATAAGACCGGAGAATGGCCAAAATACATGAAGACAATAATGGAGGTGGTACGTGCATTTGCAAAAGACAAAGGAATTAAAATTTCAGAGGAGAAGCTGCACATGAATGTGATAGAATTAATTGAATTCGAAATAAAACTTGAAAAGGTAAATATTCACATTAATGCTATGTGGGGTTTTTATGTTGGTAATATATTAAAAGAAGCTCTAATAAATCCATCCGTTTTCATAGATTATTAAACATAAGAAAAAAATTCATGAAATAATTCCTACAACTGGTGAAAAAATGACAATTGCGCAATTACAGGAATATTATAATCTTGCTGGTCCTCGTCTCAAAGCGAAGGTATTATTTATAAATAATATCATTTTTACAATAATTATTATAAATACTTCAGATGTGTTATTATTATACTTATTGTATGTACGTTGTCTGTTTCGAATTATAATATATTTAATCTAATAATATTTGTTTAACCTTCATCTACTTGATAAATCAAAAATGATATAAATATAATATTTTGCACAAAAATATATTAGCATATATTAATATGCAATCTTTGTCAATTTCCTAATCTAAAACTAAATATCTCTGTATTAATACATATAGTAAAATGATGTTTATAATCACATTTCTTTTCACTGACGTTTACACACGAATTTATAATTTCAGATTGATTGGCTGCACACAATACAAATAACTTTTGCCAAACTTTTCAAAAGATCTATATCTTCTTCTGAAACTGTTCTTGTATTTCACAAAAAAATTTTACACGATTTGGCATATCTTTTAGATGCCACACCGGAGCATGTAATCGGTAACGCATGTAAATATGAAATAATATTCTGTAAGAATAAAAATTCATGCTTAACTTATTTCTCCACAGTGAATTACTTACAATGGCATGTCGTACGAATATTTATGAGTAACTTGAATAAAGAAATGAGAAGTATTGAATCAGAATATTATTATTCACATGACATATATCCGCTTGAAACTATTTGTTACGAAACGAAACTAAAACGACGGTGAGTTGTAAATATTAAGTTAAATGTATCTTCGGATTTCTTTAGTAGAAAATTTTAATCAATTTCTTTTTATTTTATAGATGGTTACAATGTATTGAAGAATTTCAGATGAAAGATGCTTTGTCCTATCTTTATGTAAAAACATATATTTCAAGAAATAACATGCAGGCTGTAAACATTTTATATATAAATTTCTTTTTTTCAAAAATGCTTGTTCAAGATATCAAAAAGTAAATTTTTGAAAAAAAATAATTTCATTAATGTTTCTGTTTAAGGTATCACGCATATTTAAAGATGTAAAAGAAGAGATGATAAATTATATGAAATATTTAATGAAGCAAAATAAGTTATTGGCGAATCTTATAATACAGAAAATTTACAATATATCACTGCACATTAATTATCCTGAATGGTATAATAATGAGACACTACTCGCTCAAGTCTATAAAGGGGTAGGCATCTATTAATCATTTATATATAATATAGTATTAATTTGTTTGTATTTAATTGATTGTATAAATAACATTAAATGCAAAATGCAAATAACCGTTTCTAGTTAAAGATTGATGACAATTATTTCATGAATGTATTGGCTATCATAAAGTATAAAAATCTATTAAGATCGAGAAATTTCCGTGAATCTAAATATAGAGACGAGAGTTTATATAGGTTCGTTTTCTCATTCAAAATTAATTAACTTCAATCGAACACGTGCGCAGTTCATGTCTAAAATATTTTACTTATAGATGGACACTTGATTTTTTATCTGACAATCCCAATTATGACGAGCAATCTAATGTGATAAGTGAGTCTACATTTAAGATGATAACATATTACATAAAAAATTTATTTATCTTAATTGTAATATTTTCAGGTATACCTGCTGCTATGATGAATTATCCATATTTTGTATCCAATGCAGCAATGTAAGTGTGCAAAATGCAGAATGTTATTAAGAAAATACAAAACTTATTTTATAATTTAAAATTACAATTTGTCTTTCAGAGCCGCTAATTATGGTGCAATAGGTTCGACTTTTGGACAACTTTTGGTTCGCAGTGCATATTTTTTTATTGGTGAGTTTAACGATGAAATTTTTGCACCTTTTTCTATCTCATTCATTTTATGAAACTTGTAGAATCATATTTCGACGATTATGACAATTTAAGACTGAAAACTGTAATCAGTCAAGCTTTTGAAGAAGGATCGCGATGTCTCATGAAACATTATGACAATTTTATACCGCATTTAACCATAAACGAAAATCCAAAATACATTAAAGTATGTATATCACTGTATGAATTTATAATATTTATGATATTATTTATAATAATAATTTGCTTATTGATGCATGTACTTTATTATTTCTTTTTAAATAATAACTAATTGTAAGAAGCACAAAAATATTCGCAAGATTCTGCGCGGCATATAGTCGCAATTAATTTTCACCAGTTTATATTCAACAAGTTCAATACTTTGCATCGATCAGATTTTCATTAAAATTGATTTCAGTTATACAAAAATCTTGTCCGGGATGAAATTATCGCTCATACTATTGGTATACAAGTTGCTTTCGCGGCATTTGAAAAAAGAAAGACAATTTCATTACCGCAATTAGATATTAACTATCAGAGTTACAAGACCACATTTGAAGATATTAGCGCCCAACCAGAATTAGAAACAATGAATTTCACTCAGGAACAATTGTTCTTTATATATAATACATTAGTAAGTATATAAGAAAAGTGTCTAAATATATATATATTTATATATATAATTATATAATTATATATATTAAATATGAAAGCTCATTTTCAAATGAAATTTGTATATTATTATAGTAACAAATGTATTTAGAATTCTTTAATAATTTGTGTAAAAATTATTTTAAATTATTTTACAGTTAATATGCAATACGAAAAATCCTTACGAAAATTTTATTAATATTACCAGTATTAGAGCGCAAATAATCGATAATCTGGTTAATATATGGACTTTTCCTGCGGCATTTAATTGTCCATTTTATTGTATTAATGCCCGATGAATCCTAAATCATAAAATGGAAAGTCTAAAATAATCCGTCAAATAAAGCATAATTTAACTATGAACAAAAGTTAGAAGAATTAGATGACAAATTATTGACTTTGATGAAGCTTCATCAATGGAACCTAAATGATTGCTGTAACAATATTTGTCCAAGTTTCGAGTGTTTATGTAATGCGGAAAAAAACGGGAAATTATATAGACATTAGTTGGTATTGCGTATAATTCTTTTACTTCATTATTAGCGGCTCATCAGTCTCAAAATACAGAATATAAACATAAAGCTAAAATATCTCTCTTACATCATTGTGTTATATAATTTTATTATAAATATTATATAATATATATATTATAAATATCAATATATATATATATATATATTATAAATAACATATATATATTATAAATATTATATAATATTTATAATTATATATGTACATGTATATATGCACACACATACACATACAATATGTATATATAACATATACATATGTACATATATATTATAATATATATATATATATATATATATATATATATATATATTATTATATAATTTATATACGTTGTATTTTATATGACTATAATTATTTCTTCTGTCGTCGTCTGTTTATCTTTCAGTGTGTGATCAAACTCCTGTTGCATTGTGAGTCATATAATTTTAAAGATTCTATTTCATTCTTTTAAAGCGTGTCATGTTATCATATTATATTATTAAATGACAAACTATGTTTAATTACATACATAAAATGCATATGTATTGTATGGTATATAACATAAAATGTATAAATTATAAATAACAAACTTATACAGTTATATATAATTTATACTTTTAAGTATTATGTAGAGTCATTAGCAAAATTATTAGTATGATTAATAATATTGCATATATAAATTCATGATTATGGTACAATAAAAAATAAACAATGAAATAACAATGAAAACGAGTTGTTGTTCTGTCGTGAAAAATTTCTAAAACTTTTATAAGATTACATTTTCCTATCTGCGTAGAATTGCATGAGAATGAGAATGACAATTGTTATGTTCCGGAAAGTTCTCGACCTTTTTTTTAAAACATCTGATATTTCACATAGCGTGATCTGACATGATGTAATCTGGCATGACGTGCCAGATGGACGTGATTGTAAATAAAATTTATCATAGGGACAATGCACACGCAAGCTGATGATATATTTTTAAAAGACAGCGCGGTGCATCTTTTTCTTTACGGTATCGTCAGATCGATATTCTTAAATAAATCATTTGCATTTTACAGATATTTCAGTATAATATTATGTCGTACAAGATCTCGTATTTGGTTTCTCCGATAATTTACCTGATTATGTGACAAATATTAAATTACGAGGATATGTCATGATACAGAGAAGTGCATTTCATATATGCATATGTATATGCGCTGCAGCCAAGTATCGCGAAATTAATATATTTTAATAAATGTAATATAACAGCATCAGTTATGTATAACAGCGTCGAAAATTTTGGAGGCGATTTTATATATTAATATCAATGTATTAATATAAGATATGTATATCAGATTCAAATCAGATTGTTCTTTCTTGAAAAAAGTATGATATAATAATATAAGTAATAAATCAATTATAAAAATAATATAAATCGCTACGAAATTATTGATATTTAAAAATCGCGATTTATTTATTACAGACAAATTAATTTTTCAGTTTTCGAAAAAATAATATCTCTCGTATATCTTGATTGCCTTTTGTTAATTAACGTTATACTAGTTTTCAAAGAGAAAGCAATCGATTAAAAAGTAAAATGTACGAACCTATCATTGCAAGAATTTCTACGAGTACTTTTGCGATAATTGGGAAGAAATTGATTTTATGTCGTCGAACAAACTATATATAATTGTGAAAATTTGAGGTACTGAAAATAACAAAAGATCCCTTTTAATGTTATAGAAAATTGTACACATAAAAAAATTGCGTGTTTTTATAAAAAGAAATATTTATGTAGATCTCTTTGAAAATTGTGCAAAATGAATAAAGCCACTGCGTTGGAAATCTGAATGTTCCTGTATTTGTCAAATTCCTCTCCTATGCGGATTATGGAATATGACGAGGATGATGGAAACGTAAATGGTGTAAATATACGGAAGAGAGCCGTTTGTTTCAATTTAATTATCATGTGGATAACAACGGAAGGTAATTTCATAGACATCATCTGTATAATTCTATAATTTATTCGACCGATATTCTCTGCGCAACCTCCATTTCGGAGAGAGAAATGTTTATATGAATGTATGAGTGTGTGCAAAGGGAGATATTATTTCGAATGGGTTAAGGTTGTCTCCAGGGCCATCCTTTGAGCGATATATGCCGTGGCTCTGTAAAAGGTATGCAGAACGAAAGATGTTCGAAAAGAAAGAAACGATCGACGATGAAATAGTGTACGAGAGAACTCGCGAATAATTTATAGGTCTTATTTTTGAAAGAGGTTCTCGTCGATTTATTCACTGAAATTTTTATAACTTGTGCAGTAGTGTAAAATACGAATTTTACTGAATTATTTACCGCCAAAACTTCTTCGCGTTCTTCTTTCAATTTCGATGCATTATTTTAGTATCTCTTTCTCTGTCTTTCGTTTTTCTTCAAGATCTCAATATTATTTTATATCATTATTATGTATTATTTTTTAAAATATGTTTAAGATATTTTCTCCGTTTTGTTTTCGAAATAATATGAAGAACATGACGAGTTCGAGAATGATACGTATCTATAAGATGGATCAAGGCTATATCAACAATATGGTTAGTTGCTGCACAAAAAGTGCCACGAGTCAATGGCGAAAGTCAAGATCACATCTTCTCTTTTCTGACGAACGAAGAAAGCAATGACGAGGATACGCGCAAGTACAAGCTTCTTCAAGGTCTCGAGAAAGGTCTCCCGGAGGTCTCGATGATCGAACTGTGATAACAGTCTCTCGTTTGAATAACAGAATAACATTTCCACTAATTGTTCCAATATTTTTGTTCCGCGAAGTAGCGTTCATTCAATCTCGCGACACACTTCGACCCTACAATTTGTCCTCGCTAATTTCCTTATTCATCTTCCGCGTTAATCGTAAACACATTTGCAATCGTATTGGGTATCTTTTACAGCACGTACTTTGTGTCTCTCGATTAAATTTCGCTCCAAGTGTGCTCCGTCTTGCATTTCTTTCCTCTCATTTCCCGCAGAGAGATCTAGGTCGCATCGTCGAGTATTCACGAGGAGTAGCATTTTGCTACCTCTAAACGAAAGAATTCCAATTACTCCCATTCCGTCGCCGCATCTATTTGGCTTGAACAACCTGTTCTATTGCGAAATGGAACAAAGAGTAGAAAGAGGACCCGATAATCAGACTTATATCCATTCATCTGCACTAAAAAGCCGGATTGAGATAATAGGATTACAGAAGGAATCTTAGAGAATATTGGCTTTGTCGTTTGACATTCGCGACATTTATTCTATATATATATATATATATATATATAAAAAAGAAAAATGCTACAATGCTTTAATCAGAGTAAAAATACTTGCAAATGAAGTGTAATTTAAATATTTCTAAAATTGTTAATTTTTTAAACTTGTATTTCTCTCTTTCTCTTTCTCCATAAACAAGTTGAGTAATCTTATTTTTTGTAGTAACTTATATTTAAATAATATTTTTCGGAAAAGACAAAACTAGTATATTTTTCAGTAAAAAAGTTTTTTTTAGAAGAAAACAATATAAATATTTTCTGCAAAGGAAATATGTTTTGGCGATAGGATAGAGCCTTCGAAATAACAGAGAAAAAGTTATTACACGGTTCTACAAAATATTTCTCGAAATATAAAATATTTTTTGTTAAAATTTTATCAAAATATGTGATTCGCGATGCGTTACAATAAACTCTGCTGAGTTTAAAGTTCAACCTTTGATCTTACGCAAATAGTTTTTTTTTCTTACTTAATAACCGTGATTTTCCCGCGCTACTGATATTACATCATTCATTTTATCTTCGTGTTAAATAAAATGACACATCTTACTTGGAATGATTACAACAGACTTGAAAAAACACCTTTGTTATTAAAACAGTCTCGATTTGGAGTGGATAATTACGCTATAAAAATCTAAGATTGAATTTAAATCGATAAATAATGTGCAATAAACATGGTTAATAAGTCGTGAATCCCCGAATAATTAAACGCAAATGCACAGTGATGTGTGAGCGAAATTCTGAACAATGTAATTTCGCGCAGTGAGTAATTTCAGACGTAATTTTTTTCTCTTCACAATTACCGATTTCCTGCGGCCTTAACGTTCGTGCGCAGAGTATAGCCTGATGGAATCTCGTTACAACTAAATTTCCTCGGGATCGTTCGGTTCATGGTTAGCGAACAAGATGTTACGAGCTAAATTTTTCTTCGAGCGATTTCTGTGAAAACAATTTAACGTTCTGGCAGACTGAATTAATTAATGTTGCATAACACACTCGTTTAAAGAAAAAATAGAGGTAATATACATCCGTAAAAAAGGATCGGTATATTAATATTATATAATATTGTGCAAAGTCGCTCTATATAAATTTCTCATCAAGATACTTTTTAACATCTGTAAAAAAACCTCTCGAAATTTAGAGTTAAAACATACATCTTGTTCTATTCAGATATGATTAATGATTATGTTCGATGATTTGATTTCACTCATCACGTAGATGTAATTATTTTGTCTTACAAAGTTGTTTCTCAAAAAATTAGCATTATCTTATTATGTAATAATTATCATAAAGAGATATCACCGAGAGATTTTTGCATCAATATATGCTTGTTAAATTAGAATAATACACTTGCATATGCTTTTAAATATTACAATGCATTCTTTGTACATTACATACTTCCTAGTAGTATTTTCAATTGTGTGAATTGTTCGATGTATTTTTCCTTCCAGGTTTTACCCACAATTCCACACGTCAGATAATGAATTCCTACATTGGACGAAATCGCTTAGCGTGCCGAGCAATTAAACGAGCGGGCCTCACGTAATTATCGCGTCAAGCCTGGTTTATTAAGGCCCGACAGAGAAGACAGATTATCTCTTCTACTACTTCTACTAAAAATTCTTTTCTTTCTCATTCCTGGCCTATTTTCAGCGCGTGACCTTCGTTTTTTGCTACGGATTTGCAACTGCGATATCACGCGATATGTCGAATAGAGACATCTCTTTGACAGCTAAACACGATCGTTAACAAAGATTTAACTTCCCGTTCGCGTTCTACGCATTTTCAGCATTAAATGTAG